GCGTCCGCCAGGGCGTCGGTCTCCCGGGTCGAATCTTCAACCCGACTTCAACGTACGCGTCTTCGGCCGACTTCGACGAGTTCCTCGCCCTCGATTCGAGAGCCCGATGGGAGAAAACGACTCGTCCAAAAATCGGCCAAATCGACTCGGATTCGACCGAGCCGGGTGACTCTGAAGTTCGACCAGGACGCCTATTTCCACGCAGGTCGTGCTCGGCTGCGCGACGGCCCCGGACCTCACGGGCGCCGTCCTCACGGCGGAGGACCTCACGGGCGCCATCCTCTCGCTCGCGGAGAGACGCCTGGCCAAGGGCGTCTTGACGATTCTCCTGCACGACCCCTACGGGAACGTGCCCGGCGGCTTCCTCTTCGCGCTCATCCCCGTCGACGGCGACAATTCCCAACTCTTCGTGAACATCTACGAGAAGATGCGCGACTTGCTCTGGGACGCCGGCGCCAAGCTCATCGGCCTCGCCACCGACTCGGGCAAGCCCAACGTCGTCGCGATCTCGAAGCTCCGCGAGAAGGTGCCGGCACGTCATGGCCTGCGTCGAAAATTTACGCATCCATCTCTGCACGGATTCCTCTTCGACTGTAGGTGCTGTCGGTGATCTGCGACGCGTGAAGAAGGCCGCTGACCTGCCCGTTCTGGCCACTTACGATTTGAAGGAGCACTGTTTCAAGAACGCGGTCAAGCAGTCGCTCAAGGAGGAGGCGGTCCTGGGGCCCGGCGCAAAAGACCGGTTTGAGTTGGGTCCAATGTTGTTCGAACTACTGGGGTGTCACGCATCCGAGGGCGACGACGGCTTCGTCATCGAGGTCCCCGACCGTAACGACACGTCGTTCTCTACTGTGCGCGGCGTGCGCCTCGACGACCTCGTCACGGACCAGGCGAAGCGCGTCGCGATCCTCGACGAGCTCCACACGTACGTCTCCGTCCGCAACATCGAGATCCACGACGCGCAGGCGACGGCGCCCTGCTACGCACTCTGCAAGTGCTGGCGCGTGTTTCACCTGATCGGGGAGGAGACGGTGGCGAACTACCTCATGACCTATCTGCAGCTCTACATGGCGGCGCGCGGGCGGTACTTGGACGGTCGCAAATGCCCCGACGCTTTCGTCGTCGTACACGAGCTCAAGGAGGCGCTCGAGCAAATCCGAGCTTGGGACGCGTACGCTGAGGGACACGGAGTACGCGATCACGCATCTCACCACAACATCGGTACCCAAACCACTGAAAATTTGGCGGCGATGACCGATGCGGTGACTTCGTGGGAAAACTACGTCAACATCTGCGTTGCCTCGGGCATCGACATGAACGATATTCGGTTGGATATGATCCTCTCGGCCACGAACGAGTATTTGCACTCCCAACTGAAATCGATTTCGAAATACATCGATCTTGCGACGGTCATGGCCGGAGCGGCGGAGATCAGACGCTCTACGCTGGCTCGGGCCCAGGCTACACGCTGCGGCGGCTACTACCCGCACCACGGCCGCACGGGCGACGGCACGTACTCCCAGCGCGTCGACATGCTCGACCTGATCATGGAGCGGGAGAAGGCGCACGCCAGCCGGTCCGCGGACACCGTGTCCAAGCCTCTGCTTTTCGTGCGCCGCCGCCGACAACGCGGTGCGACGGGGGCGACTACTGGTCCCACGTCAATGCTCAAGGATATGGTGCGCCGCCGGAACGCACAGAGCGACATCGACCGCATGGGACCGGGATGGCGGGACAGACTAGTCCGACTGCGTGCTTCTGGAACTGCGTCACGACCCCTCGGCAATTTACACGGGCTGTCGCAGCCCAAGACGGATCGCCATATGACAAGCAGCGTGTGCAAATGTCCTCAACTACTGATGGATGGGCCAGTGACCACGCGCACAGCCACTTCCAATCTCGCCGGTGCGGTGCTTCTGACGCTCGACAAGGGCGGCGTGTTTGTTCGCGACCCCGGGTCGAGCGGCACGTTCTGCCGAGTGTCCTTCATCCCGAGAGCACGCCGGCTGGACCTCACCTGCGTCGTCGCGCCGCGCCAGACGACGCGGCAGACGACCACTAATGCCCCGGAGACGGACACGTACAGCTTCAAGTTCGAGCACATGATCGGCATGACGTTTCACGCCCCGGACAAGGTCATGGCGAGCTCGTTCAGCAAGGGCGTCGTCGAGATCTCGATCGTCATGCTCGTGCCCTACGGCCCCAACCCGGCGCCGGCGCCGTCGGAGCTCGTGATCCTGCGCCTCAAGCTGCTGAGGACCGGGAGACGCGACTACGACTACCTGCGGTCGCTCGCAGTGTGGAAATCTTCAACCCGACTTCAATGTGAGCGTATTCGAGTGTTCCGACGCAGCGCTTCCGCTGTGCTTCGAGAACTCGACGAGAGCAATCGATCCGTCCAAAAATCAGCCGAATCGACTTCGATTTGACCGAGCTCGAGAATTTCAAAGTCTGGTCGGGACGTCCCAAACCAGTCGTTGATTTCCACACAGGTCGCTCGCGACGATGACGTCGCTCAAGCACATCATCAGCGAGTCCTCTCTTCCGCCCCAAACGGCCCCCACATCCCGTGGGCGGCTCCTGACGGCGGTCTACCGCTTATTCACGTCCAGCGAGCCCACGGAGCCCTTCCCGCTCACGACGCCGCTCACGGTCGCGGACCAGTTTTCGTTCGGTCGCCTGGGCCCCGGCTGGGCGAGCTGCGACCGACGCGACGTCACGGAGGTCGAGGGCCTCGCGAGACTCGCCGCCGGCGTGTCCGTCTACGAGGAGGACCGCGGCGCGGACGTCAGCCCCGTCGGCACTGTGAGGGACACGTGGCTCGAGACCAACGGCGCGGCCAGCGAACAGGAGCTCACCGAAAAACAGATATCGCGTACTCCCCGTGTCCTGCAATGATCCTTGGCGGCTTCAATTGGCGCGCCCCCCCGACCCGAAGAAGATTTGCGCGCGATCATTTGATTCCGTCGCAGGCGCCTTCGCGGAGCACCTGGAGCACGTGCCCGCGAACCTCGCCAAGGGCGTCAAGGTCTGCGCTCGCTTGCCGCAGAGCCTCGTGCCTGACGCCATCGACGACGACGAGTCGTGCTTCTTCGAGATGAGATTCATCGAGTACCAGGAGGGCGGCAAGATCGTCGTCGTCGAGGACATGTCCACTGCTACCGCCCGGCGCAAACCCATCAGCATCAGTAGCACGGACGTCTTCGTGCCCCCGATGGAAAAGGGCGGGAGCGGCGTCCGCTTCGTCAACGGCGAGAGCGTGCTCGCCCGCTGGGACGACGACAAAGCGACCGCGTACTACTCGGCCACGGTCGTCGAGGCCGCCGACGGCGACGGGAAGCGCCTCTACGTCCAGTTCCAGAACGACCTAGACGACGAGGGCATGCCCAAGAAGCGAGCCATCGACGCGCGCAAGATCGTTCGCGACGTCGACCTGGGCAAGCGCGCGACGCCCGTGGACCCCTCCGACGACGACGAAGTGTCGGACGCGGCGGCCGCCGCAGCTTTGGCTGCGGGCGACGCTCAGCAAGGCGACTTCGGCGGCGAGGACGACGGCTTCGTCCTAGACCTTGGCGCTCCCGACGGAGATGACGACGGAGACGACGACAAAGCCATGGAGGAGACCGCCGGCGACGACCTACCGGACGGCGCCTGGAGCCCTGCGCGGCGCCCGCGACAGCCCTCGGGGGCGCCGATCTGTTCGCTCGTCTCCGGCGCCGCGTTCCAGCGATCATCGGAGGACGCGGGACCGGAGCCGCGCGACCGCTCGTCGCCCAAGAAGCTCTCCAAGAAGCGCAGGCGGGCTTCGACCGACGCGATCGCCCCAAAGTCGTCGGAGCCCAGCCCGCGCGGTTCCAGACGGCGAGCCGCCGCAGCCCCCGAAGCTCCGGCGGCCAAGCGGTCCAGAAGGCCCCCGACCCGACGGAAATGAGTGGGCGGCGACGACTTCCACGACCTGGATGGCGTCCCGGACGCGCCTCGACGAGGCCCGCGGTCGCCCATGAGCCTTAAAATCGCGATTTCGCATCTAGAACGAAGCCGATTCGTACAGCGGTCGTTTGTATCGTTTCCCAGCGCGGGGGACTTCCTCTGAGCTGATTTCGCACTTGAGGACCGCGGCCGGCGCCGAGGGGCACCCCCGGCCGACGCTGCCAACCCCCCCATGGGGCAAGCAGCCGATCGTGCCGTAGATTGGCGGACGATGGGGCGGGCTGACTCCTACGAGCCCCTCGCCGGGTCGCGGTCCCGCATGGACCGCATCCTCGCGATGGCGGCCGTGTCCACGGCGCTCTGCGGCGCGGCGTACCTCAGCGTCGGCTTCGTCAACGGCCGCAGCCCGCGCTGGATCGACGCCCTCGGCGACGCGGCCTTCGAGGCCGACGCCGGCGGCCACGCCATGCTCACGAAGCGCGCGGCCTGGGCCCACCTCCAGGAGACGTCCTACGACGTCACGTGCAGTGGCGTCACCTACGCCTACTGCGGCATGGCGACGTGCCGCTTGAATGGGGACGGCGCGACGGCGTCCTGCGGCTGCAAGCGCGAGCGCGACGCCGAGGGCCGCCTCTTCCTCCACGCCAACTCGGCCTACCTCGTCTACAGCGAGACCGTGCGGCGGGCGCTGTACGAGGACGTCGTCGAGGGGCGGCGCCACCGCTTCCGGGAACGTTTGTGCGCCGCGGTCGCCGACGGCTCTTTGTGGTCCGACGCGGGCTTCAACGTGTCCTACGGCAGCTTCGCGGACCCCTCCGGCAACTACTGGGCCCAGCACGACATCGGC